GGAAAAGTGATGACATATACAGTATGCAGCACACAACTTATGTACAGCTTATGTACTTGTTTCAGACATTCAGACTCAAGTATTTAATACTGGCATTTATTGATGGCATCATGATTTTATGCAGACGCCCCAGAGAAGTTTTTTTTGCAAATGCCTGTGCTGTTGGAAGTTCAGGAAGCCTTTTCCTGTATTGTTCCCAGACTAAAATGCACTCCATGAAGATTGCATTTAACCTTCACTGTCTCAGTGTTTAGGACACCTTTCAAGATGCAACTCTTTGGGCAGATTTTTAATTGATTTTACTATCAGTGATAATTTATATACATGTTTATATATACCATTTGGGTTTTAAAATTTTTGTTAGCTACCTTGAGTATTTCCTGGAGTTGAAAGGTGGGATATATATAAAATAAAAATAAATAACTTTTTTTTTTTTTTAGAAAAGTACAGTACTTTTTATAAGCATTCAGCAAACGCCTAATTCCTATACATTTATTGTGGAAACATTAAGAGAAAGCCCTTGTGAATCATCATATTCTGTGATCATGTTCTGGACATGCTATTCATCTCCTTATTTGCCTATTTAACCATATGTACATTTAATTGGCAGCGAGTTCCCCCATAAAACAATGATCCACTGAGTCCAAAATTCATTGCATTGCTTCACTCCTTTCCAGGTCAATGTACATCTACTTTGAATCAAACTGCACTGGAACCAGCGAGATATATTCCTGTCCAATGGATTGGGGTTGAATATGTTTTTGTGAATGTGACGTATGAAAGTGTGGAAAGGTTATCTTTGCCTTCCCTCCAGTTCAGAATACTATTTTTGTGATCCCACCTTTCTTTCTCCCCTGAATACATGAATACCCTCAACTATGCAGTAAAAATCATGTGCAACTTGCCCTCTGATTTCATGAATCGGTATTTCTTGAAATTAATGAACAAATTTGGTTAGGTTCCCATATATGGTATAACTCTGCAGAGATCTGTATTTCTGGGGGGAGCGCATCCTCTTTCTCTCCATGGGCCTCAGCACATCACAGTCGGGTCATTCAGACTAACTCTTTCCCTTTTCCCTCCTCTCCCTAACAGGTGACCTCATGCATTTGCCACCATATCTTAGGATGGACTTTTTGCTAAACCGAGGCGTTCCAGGCACTAGCAGAGACCTGGGTTTGGGACAGACCTGCCTGGAACCCCAAAAAAGCCGAACCTTGAAACGCCCGGCCGTCTTGGAGCCAGTCCCTGTGGAGGCTTCCTCCACGAGAGAAGCACAGTCATGGCAATCTGGTGGCGTAGCAACTTTACCTCAGCGAGAAGGAGCTGAGCTAGGACAGGCAGCAAAAATGAGCAGCTCCCAAGAATCCCTCCTGGACTCCCGGAGCCACTTGAAAGGAAACAATCCCTACGCAAAATCTTACACCCTTGTATAACAAAAAGAGCATGGCTGGACAGTGGCTGTAAATACTTAATAATTATTTAAAAATCCAATCAAAGCTACCTTTTTTATTGAATACCAATATTTATAATTAAAGAAGAAGATTGCCAAAATATTTGGGACAAAAATGCAACCAACAGACAGTGCAAAGACTCTCTTGCTTTTTTTCTGTCTGAGTGTGAGCTTCATCTGAATGGACCTCCTGAATTTTTTGAGAAAAGGGAGTCCAGTTTTTCTGATATTCACAAGCTTTTGTGTTTTTACTGATTTTCTACAAAGTGCATGGGGACTAAATAAAATATTTTAAACTGGGAGTTCCATCACACACACGTAAGAAGAAAGAAAACAATTTTAAAAAATGAAAGCGCTCTATTTGTGAATTTAACAGGGATATTTATTTTAAAAAGGCAAAAAAGTCTTTTGTCATGTTTTGCACATTTTTTTTAAACTAGCAAATGGGTCCTTGATCAGTTTTTTTTTTTTTCATTGTTAATTAGGATGAGTGCTGTGTGTCAGTGAAGTGGGGACGGGAAGGGGCATCAATTTGATTTGGCATCTCTTTTCTTTTTTATATTGATTTAATGAGACACTCTTTGCATTTTGTCTATGCGAAATAAAAGGGTCTTCTGCCTTTATTTGTGCATCTGTATTGCCTTCCCTTGTTCACTCTGTGTTCATTTAGCACAGGTAATTTAGTTTTTGTGGAATTGTAATCTCTGTAGACTTGACTGGAAAAAGTTTTTAATCATTGGGGAGATTTAAAGAAAAGTCTCTCTCTGGGACTTTCTTTGTAAGCAGGAAGCTGTTCAATTCTAAATTTAAATGGTTACAATTATGAGAATGCAGATGCCTTTGGTATGGATACTGTTGATATCAGCGTGTTCATCTCATATTTGTGGATGTTTCTTTTCCTGAATCATCATGGCTGGGCAGAGAGCTTGGTCATCTGGTGCTTTCAAATAACAAGATGAGCTTGACTTTACAGTTATAGAAATGTATAATTATTCCTAACATTTATATTTATTTGTTTTTTTTTCTTTTGTTCATTTATTTTTATCTCCAAGTCCAATAGACTGTTGCAGGCAGTCCCTAGGTTATGAATGAGTTCCATTCCTAACTCTTTCTTTAACTCATATGAATTCATATGTAAGTCAGAACTCATATTTCCAAACGGACTGCTGAAAACAGGCTGTATATTAAAAATGTGCAGCTTCAACGGTTCCTGGAAGCATTGCGCAGCTTCAGTGGTTCATAAGCTCAAGGAAGGAGAATGCCATCTGCCATTTTTAGTAATAGGCAGCCTGTTCGTATCTAGGGGTTGTCCTTAAGTCAGACGTACTTAACCCAGGGACTGCCTGTATATTAAAAGGTGAAGAAGGAATGTTCTCCTGAGTTAGATTGGCTAGGGACTAAAAGGAGAAAGTGAATATTTTGTTTTCTTTGCCACAGTAGAACATGAAACTGATGGATAGAAAAGGAAGGCATCTTGTTAAGGCACAAAGCTTTGCAATTTACAATATACATATTATACCACATTAACCAATATGGATGTATAGAAATAAGTGCTCACTTGAAATAACCAGAAGCCCTTTCTGCACAGAAGTCCTTTTGGATTATTGTATGTGCTGCACAAGGTAGTTTGAACTGGCGAACTGAAGCAGTGTGTCTGGTTCACATTGTTTCTTAGAAGCTAGTGGGCAACCTTGCTTCATAAAACAACTTTGAGAGAGTGGTTCCCTCAAACCTCCATTGAAGTGAAATATCCCTGCAGAGATCTGAATAGCCCCACTAAAACCTAGTTTAGGCCTCAACATAATGCTTGTTGAAGAAAAGAAATACTCATTTCTTGATTTGTCTTTTCCCTAAGGGCTCAAGGCAGTGTACATAGCAGCCCCTCCTTCATTTTTCCCACAACTACTCTGAAATGAATTACAGAGTAAGTAATCCAGTGAGATTCTATAACAGAGAGTGGATCTGAATCTGGGTATCCTCAATCCTAGTCCAACACTCTAACCACCACATTTATTTCCTAACAATTCTAGGTGAAATAGGAAGAAGGAAAATAAAGAAATAATAACACTGATGCATCTTTAAACCCCTAAATACATTTTGATATGCTATGATGCTTTATCCAAATAATGGAATTCAAAGTTTGTTTCCTTTTTGAAGGCTGGTCATACTCTATTTGATACTGCATAAATTCTTGTCAATATTTTGAAATATAGGAGGCTTGCTAGGCCAGCCCAAGATATTTTCCTGTCCTTCACCACTGCTCCATTTTCTCTTAAAAGTAGTAATCTAGGTCATGTCCCAGCTCTCTTCTCCTGCAGACCAGTCAGTCCCAGCATTTGCAACCCGAAGCAATTACTTCATGCTGGCTAATGGTCCTCAGTCCTGAACATCTCAGTCTATCCATTTAGAGACCCATTTATAAAATAGTACCAGTAACAATAAGAACCTCATCACAATGAAAACTGCCAACTTTAAAATCCCATTATATATCTAAGTTAAATAGTTTTTAGTCATTTTTTTCTCTGTGTTTCAGATGAAACATAGGATTGCAGCTTAAATGTATAGGATACAGTTTACGCTGTTCATGGAAATACTGGCAAATACTTCAAACTGTTTTCCCTTTCTCTAGCCTAATCAAAGAAGTTAATTAAAAAGTCAAGGGGAGGGGTGGGGAGATTGTTTGATTTTGTATTTTGTTTATCTTTTACAGAAAAGGAGTACATTTAACAAGTACATTCTAGATGTTTGAATTCTAAGATCTGATTCTATATAGATTCCACAAGTCAATAAGATATTACCATTTGTTGAACACAAACTACATTTTGAACATTCATGTATTTTTGACTGCATCAGAAATTCTAGGTGACTTTTCATTGTTTATAAATTTCATCATCATAGTATTCTAGTTATTAAAATGATTTCAGGAAAACATTTAGGGAGCATAAATAAACAAAGAGCCCTATCCTTTTGAATAATATTCAGAATTCAATTTCTGGTAGCCAACTGGCTCAATTCCCCCTCCGTGATTTAAATTTCTTCACAGCTCAAACTGAGCAAACAATTTCCAAATACCAGGCAATCTGACAGGCCACATCTTGACAACCTCAGTTGATAGAAGTAGCTTTTCAGCAAACAGCTCACCTTTCATATGATAGTAATAATTGAAAAACAAACCTTCTCATGCAAAATATTTTATTTTCCACTGAGCTATAGTCCTTCAAGGAAACATGAAATAATTAACCCATAGTAACTGACATTTTGAATCAGTGGATACCTTAAAACATTAGGTTTTAATATATTTGCAATCTCACCCCTATTCAGAATTAATCTGTAATATTTTTGTGTAGTATCAAAACAGTAATAAATAGAAATATCAGGATAAACAAAGGCCACAGTTCTGTGTTTGTTTATGGGAAAGGCAGTGGTAGTTGATGGATGGGTTTGGATTCATAGCAAAAATGTTAGCTGTAGATACTCAATTTCTCCATCAAAATACATGTAACTTTTGTTTTGTTTTTAATGATACAAGCCTCCTGATGATTTGAGTTTATACAAGTTTTCAATATTTTATTTGAGAACTTTAGCATCTAACAAAAATAAATGTTGATATTACCTTTCTTAACTCTAGTTATGTTTAGAAGCTAAACTATTTTTGTTTACCCTTGATCAACCATAACTGCAGTTTAACCAGCTTCTGCAATTGGCTAAATTAGGGCAATTTTAATTGTGGTAGTTTGCTCTCTTTGGTAAAAATAGTTCTTGCTGTTTCACCTGCTATGTTCTTGCAGAGCCCCAATATCAAATACCTGGTAACAACTGTGGGAACCAAGTGTAGACTTTGAGACTGAGATTAAAAATTCCTACAAGAGCCAGATGTTTGCTTCAATCTTACCTTGAAAATCCCTATGTTTGTGTCTTGAACAATTTGTTTGCCATGTATGAATGCAAAACATCTATTCATCAGAATGACTATTACAAGTGAGTCTCCTGTTTTTTCTTTTACATTAACAGTGATCAGATAGTCACATAACCACTCATAGATTATAGAAGCAATTTAAAATTTTCAATTATAATGTAATCGTTTTTACCCTACTCTGTTTGTGGCATTTGATTAACATTTGTTAAACTAAAGTACTGATATGTATAATATTTTAATTTATAACAGGGGACAATTGAGTGGCTATTTGGCACTTTCTAGCCTTAAGATTCTGCTAATCATGAATATTTACAAGGACTGGCCTTAAGAGAATAGCAAACTAGATGGCTACCTAATGCGCCAGGCTCTAAACACTGAGTATGTGCATACTGCAGGATGAACTGTGCATGATGAATGAACTGTTTGGGAATTTATTTTAAAAATGTATAGATAGTTAAAAATAGTTTAATTTTATTTGAAACATAAAAGGAATTCTGATTTTAATATCTTTCAAATGTATGTTTAAGAGGTTTGTTTTTGTTTGTTCTTTACACTATTTTTGCATATTCACCATAATTTTTCCAGCCAGTGTCTTAAACCAATGCCAGATACATTTACAGTTCTCAATAAATGTTGAAGGCTGTCCTGTGTTCCTGACACTGACCAGTCTTTAGATCTGATGCTAATCTTCAGCTGCAAAGGAAAACATTTTAGAGCACTACCTTTGGAAGTCAAAAAATATAAATGTCACTTCTGTACAACATTCTGTTGATCTCTGAAATGCGCTGAGAGATATCAGCTGAATGAGACAAGTAGAGGAAACAAATTTGCTTTTGTTTTGCTGATGTGCATATATGAAAATGTAACAGATTTAGTAACAGAGATATCACCCATGCAAATCATATATTGTAAAAGATATCACCATGCACAGTAAACAAATAACAAGCAAGACAGAAGACACTTGAGGCTTATTCCTTGGAACAGCTCAGTCTAGCATTAGATCGGCAGAAATGAAAAGTTTGTGTTCCTTACTTCTGGGGGAGGGGGAACCTCATGTGATCTTCAGAAAAAAAAAATGATTACAGTAGCATGTCAGAATGAAGGCATATAAGCCATAAATGTATTCATATTGATATTTATAAATCACATTTATACTGTAAGCCACCCAGCTCATAAAAACTGAGTACTGTAAATGCCCATCTATTGCAAATTTTACTTGCATTTGAAAAACTAGCATGCTACAGGAAAGGGTTGAGCCATGGGCTGTGCTATTTTTTTTATCCTAAATTAATTTCTTTTCTTTTTGACATTTTGTCATATAAATGTCTAAATGTAAACATGACTATGTCATGTTATATCTCTCCTAATCATGTTAGAGCTCTAGGTGGCATTTGTTACCATTGGCTATAACAT